GCGCCTGGGTGGCTCAGTTGGTTGAGCTTCCGACTTCAGCTCAGGTCATGATTTCAGTCCCTGAATTCGAGCCCCGCGTCAGGCTCCTTGCTGACAGCTGGGAGCCTGGAGCCTGCTTCGGATTCTGTGTCTCCCTCTCTCTCTGACCACCCCCCCTCCCGTTCATGCTCTTGTCTCTGTCTCAAAAATAAAAATTTAAAAAAATAAATGAATTTATAAGATATGGTAACTGCCACAAAGAACTTCTCATTTAGATTGTTTTGTAGCCTTTAATTTCCTTATCTGAAATTTTCTTCTCAAATTTTCCCTTTTTTCTTTTTAAAAGTCAATTTCCCCAATCTTTTCATTAAATTAATTTCAGCAGTTACATTTTTGATGTCATAAGGCTCTCTTAAACTTTGAATATTTCTTTTTATAGCATTCTTCTTTTCACAGATACAATATTTTCTTTTTTTTAAATGAGAGCACACGTGCGCTACGTGCACATGAGCTGGGGAGGGGCAGAGAGAGAGGAAAAGAGGATCCCAAATAGCCTCTGCGTTGTCAGCACAGAGCCCGACACAAGGCTCAGTCTCACATTCTGTGAGATCATAACCTGAACTGAAATCAAGAGTTGGTCGCTTAACCAACGGAGCCACCCAGGCACCCCATCATCTGGGGATATTAATTACATTTTATTTCTCTACTTCCTGTATTGTTTTCTTTGAGGACCCCTCCTCCCCTGCCCATTTGCTCATATGGATCTCTGCATCTCAGAAACTATCCGCAAACGCCTAATGCTCATGAGCTGTCTGTTCCTCGGATAGCTGACTGGGGCCAGGTGGGAGTGGGAGGGTTCGCCCATTGGCAGGCTCCTGGCCAGGACCAGGCTGTTTCACTGGGGACCTGAAACTGTAAGTCTCTATAGGTCTTTTTTCTTGGGCCGGGTTTTTCTCAGAGAGGAACCCTCTAATCCCCTGCTTGGAGGATATAACTTGGCTGCCACTTTTCTGGGAGTCAAATAGGAGGAGGCCAAGGTCACTGTTCAGTGTGCAGACTTTCACTTAATCCGAACACTCTGCCTTCAGCTACACCTGGTGTTCCGGAATCCAGAGATCAACAGAAAATAAACCACCAGTGTTCTGTAGGGCAGGGGTGAAGTGGTAACATGCTCTGAGTGAAGAGGGTAACTTCGAAGATTTTTTTTTTTAACGCTGGCATGCTTTTTTGTTTTTCTTTTTTTAATGTTTATTTTGAGAGAGAGAAAGAGCAGAGGAGGGGCACGTAGGGAGAATCCCAAGCAGGCTCCACACTGTCAACACAGAACCCAACCCGGAGTTCGAACTCACCAATCTTGAGATCGTGACCTGAGCCAAAATCTGAGTCAGACGCTTCACTGCCTGAGCCACCCAGGCACCTCCTGCCTGCTTCTTAACAGACTTTCAACTGCTTCACCTGTTTTTAGCCCAACCTCAGCTGCCTTTGGAGATACCGAATGTTTCTCTTATGCATGAGCCTCTCTGAGCTTGAATCAGCTTGCTTCTGGCTGCCTACTGCCACCACCTGTGGGCACTTAGCTTTCACTCTTCTCTGGTTTATTTAGTTGCTAATTGCCCCTTTGCTTTTTAGCTTCTAAAAACTTTTTTTTTTTTTTCAATATTTAAGTAAACCCTACACCCAACATGGAGTTCGAACTCACGAACCCAAGATCAAGAGACATACGATCTCCTGACTGAGCCAGTCAGGTGCCCCAACTTCTAAAATTGTTTTGTCATTTGCCTGTTTTTGGGTTTTGGGCAGTTTTTTGGTCTTGAAACTTCTGGGTAGCTCTGTAAACAGGGATGTGGTTAGTTGACTGCCTTCAACCATTAGCAACTATAAGCTATGCCTTAGCTTCTGAGCAAGTCTGGAATACAAGGGCCTGGCCATGCCTGCCATCATGGGACTCCTCCAGTAGGTAGTCTTTGGTCCACTGCAGATCAATAAGTCACATTTCTCCATTCAACCCACAAGCATAGCCCAAGAGACGTCCTCAAATACTCTGCTGAAATCCAGATACATTCAAACTGTAGTAGTCCTCTGGGCTACCAAGTCCCCTTCCAAGGAGACAGAGTAGGTCTCCTAAGGAATATAACTTCTATGTGCACTTGAGTCAGCTAGAGTCACGTCAGGAACATCATACTTATGTGTTTCCCAGGATCCACCTTTTCCCCAAATATTGTTTATTTATCATTTCCTTCTTTAAAAGTCCTCAAAATTATAATTTTCAGTTTCATAACCTAACAGCAACTGGATTTGGGACTATGAACTTGGAAATGAAACATTTATAGGTCTCTCTTATCACAGCCTCAGGATTTACTGCTTCTTTTCCATGCTTTTCTACCTCATCCTGTTTGAGTACTGTGCTTTTATAGTGTTAATTACCCCAAGCACAGAAATTGAACAATTCTATGGTCTTACTGTTGACTTTACACCACCAGACCATAGACACATTCCTACTGTTCTTGCCTAAAGTTTTTAAAAGCCTCTTTGTTGTGGATTAGACTTAATGACACTACTTATAACTCTGGGACATTGTCCCTGGTTGCTATATGCCCTTCCTTCTTGTGAAAATAGCTAGAACACATGAATGCTCAATGAAAACAAAGAAGGAATGATAGCTTATCAGTTAGGACTATTTTTGGTGCAAATAACAGAACTCCAGCTAGTATAAAGTGGAATTATAGAACTGGATATATTTATAGAAAGAACCCAAGGGTTGGAACTCAATTTCAGAAAGCATGGGAATGGAAAACTGGAAAATCTTTAGGAACACACAGCATTCTCTCCATCTCTCAACTCTGCTTCTCTTAATGCACAGGCTCTATTTTTCTTTCTCGGCATAAGGGGTTAACTGCTGGTTGGCCCACAGGGAAAGCAGAAAATGTCCTCATAGCTTTCATGTTCCAACCCTACAGCAAGACTTCATCTCAATTCTAAAATTCCCAGAGAAGGATTGAGGAAACTCAATTGGCCCAGCTTGGTATAGGAGCAGACTCCCAGCTGAATCAACAGTGACCAGTAGAAAACAATCTCATTGTATTAAAGTGGCTGTCAGAATTCCAAGGCTGGAGTGAGGATGGTAGATAAGAAAGTGAGTATCAGCTTTTAAAAAGACCCCCAAAGATGTTTACTACAGGGGCTTTTAATAAGCTGAAGTCCTGGAGGATAGAAAATATAACTGCCATTCTCCTTTTTCTTTCTAAAATAAATTTATGCCCAATTTTTATGTTGTAACTCTGAACTGGAATTGTGTTCCCATGAAGGAATGTCTCTGAGCAAGGAGCTTGCTAGTGATCTTCAACATGCTACTTAATTTCTCATCTATAAGATGGAGATGATAATAGTAAGACCAACAATAACACCTACCTTGCAGGTGATTCTCTGAGAGGACCAGAGATCATGTATCTAGAGTATCCGGCACTGTACTTGGCACAGAGTAGCGTAGTAAACACTCAGCAATGGTAGCTATGACTTTAAATGCTAAACAAATTCATGCAATATCAACTTTTTTTTTAGAAGACTGCTAGAGAGATTTATTATTTCCTCCAAGGCTGTTCAGGAGATCAACTGGAGTCACAGCCAGTTGAGTTTAATTCAAGAGAAAAACTCAGAACACAGAATACTCAATTCCCTAAGATTCCAAGATGCAAATCTAACTTATACTCTATCAGTTAACTTCATCATTACCTGCAAATGGCATGAAATAAAATATATAAGCATGTGAAACAGTTATAAAAATACAATTTATTTAAATTATATACACATTTAAATACACACACACACACAGAATACATGATACATTTACTTATTATATACAAATTTTGCTTTTCAACTACTTTGTAGTGGTAAGAATTCCTAAAAAGCCCTCATACTATTTCTTTGATCCTAAGTCTCATACGTGTTTCCCTCTCACAATTAGAATACGTCATACAATCCAAACACACACTTATTACAGCATTTTTTCCCCTAAAAAGAAACTCTCAAAAACTGTTAGTAAACCAAAAGTATATCTTAAAACTATTGTTATCTTAGATTCAAGAACATAACGTATTTAAGTAAAAAATTTTCATCTATTTTTTTAACTTTATCACAGCAATACTTTACTCCATACATAGAATTCTCTAATCTTCCTACATTCCTAGTGATCTTGAAATGCAAACTAGGTCATATTATTAAATGTGGTCCTCTCTTTTCTACATTTTTTTTTGTCAGAAAGCCACCAACATTTGTAATGCATTTTTTAATTTGTCTTGGAACAGGATGTTCTGAATTATGCCCAGCAATCTATACAACTAAGACACATGGAGGTGAAAAGTAAAAGATTAACTCAATTATGTGTCTTCCTACTATATAACCATTTCAAATAATTTTCTTAGGAGCTAAGTCAATTACATAATTGTGCTGATACGAGAAAGAGTCCCAACTTGTCTTTCCTTCAATAACATCCTTTTCTATGTACCTGATAAACTGCCCATGCAATAGTAACAGGGCACTAAGAAATGGAAAGGTCAATGATAATGTAGGTAGAAATGTAGCAAACATTTCTTTCAAATGAATATATTGCTCAAGTTCTGTATTTAGAGAACTGTATTGAGAGGTCACATCTGTCTTACTATATTCCAAGGTACATAGGTGTTTAATACATAGTAATGAATGCACAGATGAATAAATGGTATGAGTAAAAAATGAGCACATTTAGCTCAAAGCTGGCTTAAAGGCTAACATTCTCCATTTCACCTTTGGGGACAATTTTACTAAAAATAATGCTAAAAGAAAATGATAGAACAATGTACAAACTCTTGGAATGATACTTTTGCATATCTATCAAAAGATCATTATCACATATTAAAAATTAAATACAATGATAATTCTCAAACTGTCATTTCTATTTCAGGTTAATACTTAGTTAATACTTAGCCCTTAGACAGAAAATATTGGTCCACACACAGCACCAATGCTTCTTTCTCAGCTGAGGTACTTTATATACAGCAATAGGTATACAAAAGCTTTTGAGCCATTCCAATATTCCCACTGCTCTGATAAATTAGAGACAAGTTGTAGGCAATATCTCTTCGTAAGTCTAACTGGTCAACTTCTATACCCTACGAGGAAAAATACATGAATAAATTATATACTGTTATAAACAGTTATATATACTGTTTCATTAAGTAGAAGTATTCAAAAAGCTTAACATTCATGATACTAAAAAAAAAGTACAAAACTAGGCATATATACCTTGGTTCTAAATTTTTACTAGGTAATACTGATTCAGTTAATCACTGTAACAACTATAGAATTAAATTATTTTAAATGTCTAACCAATAAGTTAAAGAAAAAGTCTCATCCATAGCAGAATAAAATTCTGAAAAATTTTAAAAAAGCCATAGCAGAATAAAATTCCAAATGAATTAAGCATTTAAGAATAAACAAATGAAACCATAAAGGAAAAAAAATATATAGTGGAATAATAATATAATCTTGGGTAGGAAAGGCCCTTCTAAGTACAATGGCAAAAGTAGAAACTATAAAGGAAAAAATACGATTTCATTAAAAAATGTAAAACTTATGCATCTAAAAAAGAAATCATAACACAAATGACCAGATGGGAAATACCTGTACTATATAATAGAAAGCCATATAAAGAATAAGTCTAGGAAGGCATACAGCAAATTAATAATAATAATTACCCTAGGGGTGTTATTACCTTTTTTTCTACTTAATAGCAAAGCAATGAACTCAATGGAGTAGGTTAGATCTATACTAATCTTCCCCAATACAAAGTTTTGGAGTCAACTGTAAAAATATCTGCAACAATTAAAAATGATACCTATAAAGCTTAAGGAGCAATACTTAAAGGCATTTATGAAATAAAAAATACAAAAGTGTATGCATTTCATCAGCGTAACTAAAAAAATATGTATTTATTTGTTTAATGACTAACAATGGACAAGGGTAATAGAAAACAGTTGTGAGGGCATGTGAGGATTACGAATGCAACTTAAAAATATTAGCAAGTAGGGGTGCCTGGGTGGTTCAGTCAGCTAAGTGTCAGACTTCGGCTCAGGTCATGATCTCACAGTTCGTGGGCTCAGGCCCCGCGTTGGGCTCTGTGCCGACAGCTTGGAGCCTGAAGCCTGCTTCAGATTCTGTGTCTCGCTCACTCTCTGCCCCTCCCCCACTCGCACTCTGTGTCTCTTTCTCTCAAAAATAAATTCTTCAGAAATTAAAATAAGAATTAGACTTTAAACACAGATTGTCATAGTATTGGCAACACTTTACCCTATACAGTATCTTAAAACTAAATTCATACTGGCCTTTCACCTTTATAAAGAAATATGTTCGTTACACTTGAACTTTGAAATGAACAATGGCTATATTACTCAACATTCAGGCTTTCTGTCTCCCAGCTCATACCGATAACCACAGAGGCTACCTTAGGGTAACTGAAATGGTCACCACAAGTCATATGTGTCCACATGGTTGCTGATCAGGTCATAACATAAGAATGTCAAAGATCTACTTGTTGCTAAATAAACACATTCAATATGGACAAAATGCATTCTTTTTTTTTCTTTTTTAATGTTTATTTGAGAGTGAGCATGTGCATGCATGAGCAGGGGAGGGGCAGAGGGAGAGGGAGAGGGAGGGGGGGAGAGAGAGAGGGAGAGGGAGAGAGAGAGGGAGAGGGAGAGAGAGAGAGAGAGAGAGAGAGAGAGAGAGAGAGAAAGAGAGAATACCAAGCAGTCTCCACACTGTCAGTGCAAAGCCCAGCACAGGGCTTGATCTCACGACCACAAGATCATGACCTGAGCCAAAATCAAGAGTCGGACGCTTAGCCAACTGAGCTACCCAGGTGCCCCTGGAAAAAATCCATTCTAATATGTAATTTATTTCACTAGCTGGACCACAACATAAGCTAACTGCACTTCTCTCTAGATGAAATGAAATAAAATGACTCCTCAGTTTTTAAAGCAAATCATACAATACCTCTACCACAAGTGGAGGGAGATCCAAGGCCTTCTGATAATAGTGGATTGCAAGATGAATCAGCCCCAGCTGGTGAAGGCCACGGCCCAAATTGTAGAATGATTCCTGGCAAGGCCCACGTATGCTGAGGTATCGATTAAGAAAGGAAAAGCCCTACCCAAAAGAAAAAGATAATTCATTATTATTCTCATTTGACCGGTATATATTTGAACAACTATATGTGCCAGGTATATTCTGTACAGAATACAAGTATTTAAAAAAGGGCGCCTGGATGGCTTAGTCAGTTAAGTGTCCAACTCTTGATTTCAGCTCAGGTCATGATCCCTGGGTCATGAGACCAAGTCCTATGTAGGGCTCTGTACTGGGCGTAGAACCTGCTTGCTTCTCTCTCTCCCTCTCCCACTGCCCCTCCCGCTTGTGCTCTAAAAGAGACACAATCTCATCCTGAAAGAACATATGTCTGTGGCATAGTGCTATATCACAATTTAGTCTAGAGCTCTTCTGAAGATATAAAGGAAAGATTTATTTTTTTTAAGGACAAAAATATTTACAGAAAACAAAGTCCAATGTTAAAACTGTCAAAGATCCATAATCTTTAAGAACACAGGATTGTTTTTAAGGTTCCAAGTTGGCTTTTGTGACATTAGAGGCCAATAAACTTTTTTTTTCTTTTTTTGGGGGGGGAGGGTGAGAGAGCACACATGCATGAGTGGGGGAGGGGCATAGAGAGAGAGAGAGGGAGAGAGAGAGAATCCCAAGCAGGCTCTGCACCATCACTGCAAGATCATGACCTGAGCTGAAGTCAGATGTTTAACCAACTGAGCCACCCAGGTGCCCTGAGGCCAATAAACTTCTTGATTCAAGATGTCTAAAAGCTTGAGCAAAATATAAAATCTAAGCTCTTAAAATGGTAATTTTAGAAAGGTTTCTTCTCAGGGACAAACTCACTTAAGTATACCTAAACTTTCTGGGTCAATGGTACCTTTTTTGTAAGTTACCTCTCAGGACCTTAATAACCTCTTAACCCAAAAAATTTGATTCTTCCCCTGAAAGCTTCTGACTCAAAGACTTTATGGAAAAAATATCAGAACACAGATAGAATACTGCAGGCTCCACGTGTGTCACAGTGTCCAAAAAGCACCTGCTTCGTCTCTTACTGTATTCATTTTCCCCTTTAATGCATCTTCAAGTTACCAGCTGCAGAAAGTTACCGACTGCAAAAGTGCAAGTGTCCTATGTTAAGTAATTAAATAAATATAATCTCCAGCTGTGAGCGTAGACTATAAAATGCAACTATTTCCTGGGTGATCTGCTTTCTGATAAATGGTCACAAATTTTTCTTCATAAAAAAAAATAAAAATTAATGAATTCTTTAGAATTAATGCATTTTAGGAATAAAAATAATTATGTTCACTAAACTCATACTTTCTGCATAATAAAATAACCCATATTTATAGGTGACTATAACTTCTACTCCACTGAAAATCATGGTTCTGTTAAGTAAAGCAGACAAACTATTAGTCTCAGAGAATTAGCAAATCTTCCTAGTTTAAGATGACAAATTTAAAGATAAAAATTTGAGAAAGAATAATAAGCCCAGATGAATTACTGCAACCCAAATAAACTTGTAGGTCTTCTGATACAATAACAGGATTTGAATTACCTGCTGCATTTTAAGAAATTTTTAACAAACTTAGGAGACCACTGAAACACTATTCAAATATTTAGTGATTTAAAAGCTAGGTAATAGAGACAGCCACTTTATCTCTTAGGCGATAAGAGTTTTGACAAACAAAAAATTTAATGGAATAGAAATAAAAGAGTCCTTTTTACATTAACTGTGTTACTTTCAAACTTTTTGTCACATTATTCACTAAAGTGTCCAAGTAATATACACTGTACATAAAATATTAAATACGGGCAGAATTATAAGATTTACTTTCACAGTATAATAAGAAGGTAGGAAAGATAGTAAAACATATGAAATTAGTTTTTTTTATTTGAAATTAGTTTGTTTTTAACTACTCCAAAGGAAAATTAATTATGATCATGTAGCATAAGGAAATAGATTCACAAGAAATTAAAACAATTTAAGAATCACGTTTACAATGAAACTTGTTTTTAGAAACTTTTTTTAATGGAAAATGTTTATCATACACAAAAGTAGACAGATTAGGACAACAAACCCCCATATACCCATCACTTCTTGTTTTATCTCAATCTCCAACCAATTAAACACTGCTGTTTAAATATACCAGTGATTTGAAAGTTAGCTTCTAAATTACTGTGCAGTACACATATTTTTTCCCTACCAGGCAAAAACTACATACTTTAACTATTTTTTTTATTTACTTATTTAGAGACAGAAAGAGAGCATAAGTGGGAGAGAAGGGCAGAGTAAGAGAAACAATCTTAAACAGGCTCCATACTCAGCATGGAGCCTGATGTGGGGCTCGATCTCACAACCCTGGAATCATGACCTGACCTGAAATAAGAATCAGACACTCAACCAACTGAGCCCAGGCACCCCTATTTTAACTATTTAGTAATAAGTCAATCCATAAAAATTTCCTATTAATGTTTACCAGAATATAAGCTTCATGAGGGTAAGGAATTCTGCCTGTATACTCATTCACTACTATATCCCCACTCCTAGCACAGTGGGTGCTCATTATATATTTAATTTATAAACAATCCTACGTTACCTAAAACAGCAAAAGTATCCATTAAGAGAGAAAAAAACTTAGAGCAAGAGGTGGATAAATATCACAATTGTCTTTTGGTTTTGGTTTTACTTTTTATTATGAAAAATTTCAAACATACAAAAGTAAAGAGAACATTATAATGAATCCCAACACCTAGCTTTAACAATTATCATCATTTGAATTTAGGCTTTCTTTTAACCATTTTACTTTAAAAACCAAACCCACATGAAAAATTCCTTTACTAAATCCTGCTATTCCATTCAAGTCAACATTTTTTTCCTTCCATAACTACTTAAAAAACATGTCTTTACATGAGTCAAACATATAAAAACAACACAAAAGTACTAAAGATACAGTGGTAAACAAGACAGATAGAATCCCTGATCTCTTGGAGTTTACATTCTTATTAGAGAAGACAAACTATATAAAAAGTAAACAAGAAAATAAAAAGACTACAACCATGAAAACTTTAAAAGAGCAATTTGTTGGTGGTGATGTAAAGAAACAGTCAACACAGTCACATATTCATACATTACTAGATATATATATTATGTATTTTTAAAACTGATTTACAATAAATCAGTCATCAGGACCTAGAAGACTGGAGGTCTTAGGGGCTCCAAAGTCTTAAGGAAGCCTTCAGACTCTTCTGTGTCCTCTTTGTGATCTGGCTGTGTACCCTTTCTACATGGCTACATAAGTCTTAGCCAGGAGCACCACCACTAGATGTTGAGTCCATGCTGAGTGCTAAACAGAGGGATAGGTGTTGGAACTCCCAACATGTATGTATACTAAGCAGGTATTCCTTCTAAAGCAGGATAACAAAAGCATTAAGTATATTCATTTTTAAAGAACATAAAACCAAGTAATGAGAAATCTAAATGAATTACCTGCACAGTAAGAGCATGTCTCCTTAATACATACTTCTGAGAGGCCATGTGAATAAACGTTAGGCCTATACACAGACTATAGAGAGGTTCATGGGGATGGGTGCGAAAGGCTTGCACATATTGTCCTGAAAAAAGAACAGTGGTGTCAGATGGGTGTGACAAGAGCATAGTTCCCTATTTCTTCAGTTATTCAAATATACTTTATTGCTAAACAGTACTGATTTTTAACATATGCAAGGTGTACATTTTAAAATATCAATCAGATGCACATTAATTTGAAATTTTAAAACAATGTATAAAATATAACAAAATTAGGAGGATTTACCTATAAATATATCCTCATCACCCAGATTAAATATGAGCAACTAAAACCTTTTTTTAGGCACAGCTAGACATTTCCATGTAGAGTAATACTTCCAAAATAATTTACCAATTGTGATCGTAAGTCTATTTTAAGATCTTAAATCTATTTTAAAAGAAACAAGGGAATGTGTCTTTGGTGAATTCTTTTGTTATAAATTCAAATGTGATGGATCATGGAGATGAAAAAAAGAAAAATAGCTCTGTTTTGTTTTTTAGGATTATGGGTGTTGTTTCCCAAATGGAGCACTACTTTGTTTTTCCTGAGAAAAACATGTTTTCCTTGTTTCCATGTATTTACATATGTAACTGCTTCATGTCAAAAGTTTATCCATATGAGACAGGGGAATTTAAGCAAAATTTTTATTTTTTTGATAAGCAAATTTTTAAGCAAATTTTTTTATAAAGGGATGATCTATAATTTATCATACACAGGTAAAAACTTCTATTCTTTCCGGCTCTGTGCCAGAAGACATGGCACCACAGAATCTCTTTAGCAGCACAGATGGTAGACTGCCATTTGCACTTTCTATTTTTACCTTCTGCAAAAGGTCCTAAATATAGGAAAATAATATAAATCTGTTTTATATTTTCTTACCATTAAACAAACAGTTCCAAAACACACACACCAGAGGTAAGTTTCAACATCTGATGTTCAAGGTTACTGTCAAGTGAGTTGGGCAACACTAGCTCTTAGGCAGCAAGAGATACATGCCTCATTTTAAATTTAAACATTTGACCAGGTATTTTTCTAATTTGCTTCTGATTCCCTATTATAGAAAATTTCAAGTGACTAATTTTCCCTGAGTTTAATTAGAATTAGCAAGCACAATGTAAATAAATCTTGGTATAAAGACTTGTCTCCTTAAGGAACAAACTATCAGCAAATCTTAAATCCATTTTTGTACTATAGCCAATTAAAATCAGGTAGCAAAGAATCCACACACACACACACACACACACATTTTTTTTTTTAGACAGAGACTGCATGAACCAGGGAGAGGGGCAGAGGGAGAGAGAGAGAAAGTCTCAAGCAGGCTTCACGCTCCACACAGAGCCTGACACAGAGTTCAATCCCATGACCTTGGGGGATAATGACCTGAGCAGAAATCAAGAGTCAGATGCTCAATCGACTGAGGCACCCAGGCACCCTGCAAAGCATCCATAATTAATGAAAATTATTTAGAAAACAAACTAGTCTAAGCAGGAGAATTATTGGCCTTTAGAATGAATTATAAAACTTACTTCAGCCTTTTGAACCAAAGCTTTGTAAAAAAAAATAAATACTAATATTCATTATTATCATTACTGCCAACACAGCTACTTACTGTATGTGCCAGGCATTTTTTTTTTTTAATGCTTTACATTAACTCATCTAATTTTCACAATAATTTGTAAGGCAGGTCCAATTATTACCTCCATTTCAGAGATAAAGAAACTGAAGCACTGGGAGGTAGAATAACTTGCCATGAGGGAGCTGCTATTTAAACACAGGTAGGGGCGCCTGGGTGGCTCAGTCGGTTAAGCGTCCGACTTCAGCTCAGGTCATCATCTCACGGACCGTGAGTTTGAGCCCCGTGTCGGGCTCTGGGCTGATGGCTCAGAGCCTGGAGCCTGCTTCCGGTTCTGGGTCTCCCTGTCTCTCTGCCCCTCCCCTGTTCATGCTCTGTCTCTCTCTGTCTCAAAAATAAATAAACAAACAAACAAAAAAAACCATAAACACAGGTAGTTTTCTGCTCCAGGCCCGGCTGTTAACCATCATACCATCCACACTTGACAAAGTCACATACAGGACACTTACCAAGCGCGTGCTTAAAACTACCAGATACAAATGCATTGTGTCCATTCAAGACACACAGGGCATGATTATCTGGGTTTTTCAGCATTAGGCGAAGACAGAAGCGATGATGTCGTACCTCTTGGGAGTGCATGGTAACCTGATTGAAAATGTTCCAGAGCTGAGGTTTATTGACATTTTCCATTACCATCACCCTAAAATTGCAGACAGAGAGGGAGGGTAAAAAATAATGTAAAAAGAAAAACTTCTGATTCTAAGAATGAAATACTTCATTCAGCGCAGCAACATTTTCCTACAATGAAAACCAGACTATTGCAACATATTTAAGCATAAACACTCACACAGTGATTTTTCCCAGAAGATGCTACTTGAGTTAGTATTTCTACATCTTGTTTGTTCTTTTTAACAAAACTTTTAAGCCAAAAAAAAAGAATCAAGTAGTTTGTTTCACCTATTCTCCCCCAGCCCACTACAGCTCCAGTACAATGAACAGTGAGTAACAGCTAATAACAGTGTGTGCCAGACATTGTTAAAAGGCCATATCTATAATAATTCACTTAACTCTCATAATAATCCTACAAGGAGGTAATATTATAATATCCATTTTATAAATGGGGAGACTGAGGTACAAGAGGTTAAATATATGAGAGGGCATGCCTCTGAGAATCATCAATGATTTGAATTTACCTGTAAGCCACAAGAGAGTTAAAACAATTTATTAATTCTTGAGTATGAGAGACTAAATCAAAGTAAATACACATCCTCTTTCAAAGAATCTAAAATAAGTTATTGGAAAATTACCTGATATAGTTGTATGCCTTTCTGAAATTTTTGTCCAGTATTGCAGCAGACAGACCAAAGTATTCTAATTCTTTGCGTTTTTGCCTGTCATCATAAAATGAATAATATTCCAGTGAAGAATCCACAAGTAACTCAGCCTCTTGATATCGGGATAGGTCGCATAAGGAGTATATGGCCTTCAACAGAAGGTTCCACCAGTCATCTTTTGTCAAGACACTTGTGAGTACAGCAAATATTGCTAAAATGATACCAGTGAAAATCAGTTAGGACACTGTATTTTCAGAAATAACAATATTAGAAAAATCCGTATGATCAATTTTAAGGCTAAATTTAATACACACATTCCTATGGGCCTGAATTCTTGCCAACACTCTTTAGACAATGATGAAGTGGATAGTTTTCTGCTTACGCTACTTCAACACCAGCCCTCTGCTCTGCCTAACAATCCACAACCCCAGGTAATTCTTACTTCTGGTTTGTCCTCTACAAATTCCAGCTATGTCATCTGTATCTGTCAGTGCTAGCTAGGATATATGGTCCTCCAGGGCAGAACAAGTAAGTGAGTATTCCATGACTGAAGTCAGATACAGGATTCTGCACATACAAGGAATTCAAAAGTTTGCTTAGCAAAGGACTTCAAGATTTAGATTGTTCTTGATCTTTTTATAATCTTAATATTTTCTCTGCCTCAAAATTTCTTTTCCTTCAAAATCTTGTCTGTAAGAGCGTCCTTTTTTATAAATTTATAACTCGAGAAATATCAAAAGCTATAAAAATTTTTTAGTCTTTGACCCAGTAATTCTCCTGAGAATATATCCTATACAAATAGTCAAAAATATGGATAAATGCATAGTATTATTTATAAAAGAAAATTATCAGAAACAACCATATATCAAAAAATAATAAGGGAATAATTAAATTATGGGATTGCTATCCAATGGAGTATTAAACATTCCTTAATGATAATAGCTATGAAGAGACCAGCATGAGAAAACATATGTGAGAAAATGTTGAGTGAAAAAATCAGAGTACAGGCATGCCTGGGTAGCTCCATCAGTTAAGCATCTGACTCTTGATTTCAGCTCACAGTTTGTGAGTTCAAACCCGCACTGGGCTCCGTGCTGACAGCGCAGAGACTGCTTGGAATTATCTCTTTCCCTCTCTTTCTGCCTCTCCCTCACTTGTGCTCTCTCCCTCACTCATGCTTTCTCCAAAAAAATAAATAAACTTAAAAAAAAAAAAAGTACAAAGATGCACGTAACATAAAGAGACCTTGTTCATCCTATCCTGGTACACAAATGTAACATGATCCCTACCATGATGAAATTAACAAAAAAAACCCTTTATGAACCTAAGAAAAACCAACAATGGACCTGAAATGAGAAAATACTGAAAGAGAAAACTTGACAGAATCACATATAGAGAAAAATATAAGAAAATATAGTCTTAAACACATGAAGCAGAGTCTACCTTTGAGATGGGCCCAGAATCCATGAGCTGTAGAGATAGGCTTCTGAGGCATTTATATCTAGATTATGAGCAGCTGATCCTCATTCCTTTCCTGACTCTCCTCCCCTGCAAAACCTACTTATGTTAGGTCCTCATAATGTGCTTACAGAGATTCAGCTCTTCTGGATTTTAAAACCCTTTTCCATTGCACACTGCACACACTGACAGACTGATACCTCCAGTTTAGACTCTTTTCAAGTTTCTCTTTTCAACCTCACCCAAACATACTTGAGGCATACTTGAGGCATTACTAAATATAGACACCTTTTAAAATCAAATTACTCGAGACTAGGTCAAAGCAATTTATTTTAGAGTTTCTATGACTATTGCTACATTTATCAAAAATGAATTTAACAGAGAATGAAATACATGTAATTGAAGTGACTGGACAAATATAGTAATTTATATTGCCATCTAATCTTCACAAATTTCTTAAAATAACATATTTTCTTCTTAAAAGGTCAAAAGTTCTGTTTAGTTTTTTCACAGGGAGATCCAAGCAGATGGTTTCCTTCTAATTTTTAAAAAGTAAAGTATTTACATGTAGCCTTCCTTTTCTTCTTTTAACATCAAATGAGTTTATTATACTTGAAGGATCTGGATTAGAAATTTCATTTTATTTGAAAATGGTGTATTTTCTTTTTTTCTATGAGAGAGAGAGAGAGAGCAGAGGAAAGGGGCAGAGGGAGAGAGGAAGAGGGAGAGGGAGAGGGAGGGAGGGAGGGAGAGGGAGAGGGAGGGAGAGGGAGAGGGAGAGGGAGAGGGAGAGGGAGAGAGGAAGTGAGAGGGAAAGAGAATCTTAGTAGGATCTATGCTGAGCGGGGAGCCGGATGTGGGGCTCCATCCCACAACGCTAAATCATGACATGAGCCAAAATCAAGAGTCAGATACTCAACTGACTGAGCCACCCAGGTGCCCCAGAAAAGGGTATATTTTCAATTAAGTTACTATCAGGTATTATTTCATGAATATTTTTTGAATTCAGTCACATTTTATGCAATAAAGCAAATGAAAGTAATTACCTTTTGCATCACAATTTGCGGTCTCTTGGTCACTGTTGTCTGATATTTTGTCTCTTGACACTTTTATAAGGTAGAGATGCCTCTCTCCAGATTTGGAGCTAGATATCAAACAAACTTGAGCTCTATTCATTGCTACCTGAATTTAAAATAACAATTTGAGATTTTTTTAGTCATATACTTTAATATTTTAAGTAATCTCCATACCCAACATGGGGCTCAAACTCACAACCACAAGATAAAGAGTCTTGTGCCCCTCCAAATGAGCCCGTCAGGCACTCCAGTCATATAATTTTTTTAAAGAAAATCTATGGGTCACAAGTACCACAGGTATACCTGAAATCTTCTTTAGTAGGGGAAAAAAAAGGCCAAATTACTGTGTATTTAAACACCTAAAAGAGAACAGACTTATTTTTTTCTTCCCAAGGGAATTTAGATCACACTGCTTACCTTAGCAGGGAAAAAGAAGGCAATTCACATTAATTTATAACATATGTACATGCACACATAACCACTTCCCTGAAAAAAAGCTAGACTTGGAAATGATGTCACACATGGAAAACATTTTTGCAAAGTGAACAATTTTGGCACGTGGTACTGTCTACAAAGCCAGTAACTGATAACACTATGGTTCTCACTTTTCTGAATTTGTACTAGCAAAGACTTTATTTCACTTACTCTACCTACAGTCAAGTTTACACTTTCATGTAGAACTTTCAGTTACAGTCAACCCTTGAACCATACAGGTTTGAACTGCACAGGTTCACTTATACATGGGTTTTTATAGTACAGTACTATAAATGTATTTTCTCTTCCTTATAATTTTCTTAACAACATTTTCTTTTCTCTAGCTTCCTTTATTTTAAGAATACAGTATATAATACCTTTAACACACAAAATATGTGTTAATCACCTGTTCATGTTATCAGTAAGGCTTCCAGTCAACAGTCGGCTAGTAGTAGTTATGTTTTGGGGAAGTTAAAAGTTATATGCGAATTTTAACTGTGTTAGAGTTGATGGTCCTAACTCCCATGTTGTTCAAAGGTCATACATACCAGTAACCTCTAAGTCTTTTGTCTATATCTGACTTTCATTTTCAAAAGTTTGAGAGTAGAACAGTTATAAAATAGCTATAATCTATGTTTAAATCAAATTCTAAACATTTAAACAGTCAACAGCACTAACATAAGGAAAGACCATTACCCACCTTTAAAAGCATGGCTAACATGGTAAGTAAGGTATCCACATAACCATACGTTTTGCCTTGGGAAAACAATAGAGTAGAACGATGAAGCAATAACTTCAGTTCCTAAATAAATAAGCACATGATAATGAATGTGACAAGATTCCTTTGCTGTAAGTTGTTTTGTCTGCATGGAAGAGTTTTTTTTTTTTTTTTTTTACATTTATTTATTTTTGAGAGACAGAGACAGAACACAAGTGGGGGGAGGGACATAGAGAGAGAAGGAGACACAGAATCTGAAGCAGGCTCCAGGCTCCAAGCTGTCACGGGGCTCGAACTCACAAACTGTGAGATCATGACCTGAGCCGAAGTCAGACACTTAACCAACTGAGCCACCCAGGTGCCCCAGAAGAGTTTTGTTTTAGAAACCAAACCTTAACAACATTTGCTTTATGATCTTTCACAACTTAAGATCCAACATTTTAGACACATAACTTACAGTGTCTAACAAGAGGCTGAAACTTAAATTCAAAATTACTCTTCAAAAACAGTGAATTTATTAATACACTAAAATAAATCTTTTGGATACAAACCGTATACACATCCTTAACGGAGGAAAAAGTTCAAAAACACAATCCACCAAGGAAAACTTCCTTTCACATGACATGGCCTACCTGCTGTGCAGCATTTGCATCCTGTGCTAAAGTATCTGGATCATACATTGGTTCCAGAGCTTCCAGAGCTTTCTCAGGACGGCCCAGCTGCTGCTGAAGGGTGGAAAGTGAAATTCTTGCATCCAAATGAAGGGGGGCCAGATCAACCACTTTGCCATAGCTTTCCGCAGCGCGTTCCATATAGCCTAAGGCCTTTAAACATTCTAAGATGATGTTAAAATAAAGCATAATAAATATGATCTACAGATTTGTAAGCTTGCCAAAATTATTTTTCCACTTTAAAGAAATATTAAATATTTCTTATATTAAATATAAAATTAATATAAAATATAATATTAAATATAAAATATTCCACTTTAAAGAATTATAAAAATGAAATGTCTGCATATTTCTAATACTTTAAAACAGCCATTCCTTCTAATCTCCATCTACTGATTGATCCATCTATTGATTTCTCTAAATCCAAATTGCTACAAGGATGTAATCAGCACATACATACACTTTGAGGTTCTGCTTTATTTAGTTATTAGCATTATACTTTCAACATTTCCCACATCTTCCTTAGCATTTTGAATGGTTATAACATTCAACTATTTATTTAACCATATTATCTGATATTTAGGTTATTTCTGAATTTATACTCTAATACATAGCAATGCAGTAAACATTTTCATGTATATAAGCCATGTCTAAAAATTGGCAAACCTATTTAACCCACAGAGGTGTTTTGTTAGGCCACAGTGCTGTTAAAAACAATACATGGCCTCCATTTTTTAAATTTCGGATTCTTATGAACTCTAAGTTACCGGATTCTTTTGACAAATCTGAATTGGCAACACTCTCCTGTTCCCACATGGCACATCAGCCTATGCTGAGAAACAGCAGCATCCTCTGGAGAGGGCTCTCCAGTTCTCCCCCCAAGCCCTGCGCCTCTTCACTTGCCCACTTCACTCATTTTCGTTATTTGCCAGGCTCCTGAGTTTTGTGATACCCAATATAAACTACCTCCCCTCATCTCACTCAATTATTTCCTCAGGGTAAGTTCTCAGAAGGGAAGTTACTGGGCTCTATTCCTCAAACTTTATGCCAATCAGTCATTAAATCCTACCAGTTGAACTCTCCAGCGACAACACTAATCTAGGCCTTTTCCATCTCGTTCCCTTTTCATTACAATTACCTCCTAAAATGGTTCTTTCGCTTTCAAATCCTTTCTCAAATCTCAAATTTCTCAACTCTCTCCCGAGTATCATCTTTAGGTTAAACTTTGATAGTAAGCAATAAAAACTCCATCTCCCTGCTCATGTCTTTTAAATTCAAATATCACAAATAATGTTTTTATGATGGTTATTACATTTGTATTCATGTTCACTCATCCAAACAGTAAAGAGTTATCTTTAAGTGTTCTTAGCAATTTCATATTGTGATAGGTCTCAAAATAACCCAAATTGTCAATCAATGCTTCTCTAGTTATAGAAAACTTTCTACCATTATATAATATTTTAAGAACTATTAGAACTTTCTGCTATCATGTAATATTTTAGACAAAAACTATTCAACTTTTAATGCATCTTTTATGTTGATTCAATACAAAATCCCCTTAGAATATTTTTGGATTTCATACATTTAAGAAATTTAGTTGTTTTTCTTAAGCTATTTTTTTTACTTTAAATGATTTATTTCAGATTATTATAAATTTAGATACAATAAAATGAAATGATTCATAAAACCCAATCTTGAGCATACATTTGCAGTTCAAAGAACACTGCAAATACATGAAATTTTTTCTCAAAATAAAATATTAAATATAAATCCATAAAAACTCTTTCAAAATTAGACAGCACCCCAAGTCTGACTATTACTAGAAGTCAGAGCCTATGGTTAAGACAGGTAAATGACTCGTATAAAGTATTTTTACCAAGGACATGGTTAGTCCTACTTCATTCCGGTAGCATTAAGTAAATTTTTCTTCCAAAGCATTAATGTGGGGGAAATCATATAGTGGCATACCATGACAATTTAAAATACTAACATTCATAGGGTTGCAGAATCACTATGTTGTACACCTAAAACTAATGTAACACTGTGTGTCAACTATACTCAAACAACAAGCAGACAAAAGAAACTGATATTCAAAAAACTGCCCTGAAACTAGAAATACTTTCACTTTTACCAAGACATTAATATTTTAAATAATTATTACCATTTTGGAAAGTAAGTTCTTGCCTGTTTATATGATTAAAACTTCTCCCTCCCACAAAGAAGTATTACCTGCATGCCGAAGCCAAACTACTGCGAGGTTGTATCTTTCAGAGCAGACTAGTGCACTAAGGAGGGGAAGTGCAGAATTATATTCACCAACATCCAGAAAAGCTTCAGCAACATCTAGATAGAGGTCTCCCATATCTTCAGGATTCTGTTCCACTAGTGTTGTCAAGAGAGGCTAGACCCCAAAATAAAAGTCTGAAGTCAAACAATCATTACAAATATGGACATGAAGGTATATTTCTCTTTTCACATGTCTATCAGTTATTTGAAGCAAGCCGAAAAGGAGCAAGGTTTAATGAAAACAGCTTTAAATAACCATTTTTCTATTCATTTCTGAATCTCTATTTCTCTATTAGAAAGAACTCATACTACCATCACTCATTCAACATATTACTTTTAAAGTATTTTTTTTTAATGTTTATTTATTTTTGAGAGAGATCAAGCATAAGTGGGAAAGGGGCAGAGAGAGGGGGGGACAGAGGATCCGAAGCAGGCTCTGCATTGACAGCAGAGAGCCCAACGTGGGGTTTGAACTCACAAACTGTGAGATCATGACCTGAGCTGAAGTCAGATGCTCAATCGACTGAGCCACACGTTACTTTTGAAGGCCTGGTGTAAGCAGACATGGCAGGAGCTAAGATAACACTGACTTGCTGTGCTCTTTCTCTGCTAAGACAAACATACCCAAGCTTCAGGGCCTCTGTGTTTGCTGATATTTCTGTCATTATTCAAAGGTCACCTTTTCAGAGAGGGCTTTCCTGACCACCCTCCTACTCCCAATATTCTCTGTTCTTCACTGTTTGATTTTTTCCAGAGTATGTACCACCAACTAACATCCTATATTTTGCATATTTATTTTGTTATCCATTTACTCCCATTAGAATAAAAGATCTATGAGGGCAGGGTTTGTGTATTATATTCAATACCTTATCCTAAGGTCTGCAAAGCAGATGCCCAATAAATTTTTTTATTCAACGAAATACTCCAAAGCTGGCAAAAGGGAAGAACTTTCAGAATTTACCAACTGTCTAAAAAGTCCAATCTCAAATTCTGATCTCTGGATTGTTCTCATTTAAAAAGGAAAACAAGGGGCACCTGGGTGGCTCAGTTGGTTAAGCATCCAACTCTTGGTTTTGGCTCAGGTCATGATTTCACAGTTCGTGGGTCCGAGCCCCCCACTGGGCTCTGCAATGACATTGCAGAGACTGCTTAGGATTGTCTCTCTCCCTTATCTCTTTCTGCCCCTCCTGAGCTCACATGCGCACACTCTCTCCTTCTCTCTCAAAATAAATAAATAAACTTAAAAAAAGAAAAGAGAAACAAATTATTACAAGCCCAGTTCAGCTTTTGTAAGATATTCACACACAAATAATTTGATGCTTATGGTGACATCCTGGGTTACTGAAAAATGTGAAATCTAGGGTAAACTTACAATTACTTGTCATCTAAAGAAAATAATGTGATTTTATCTGAAGTATCTCAAGTGCAGATCTTAATGTTACTTACATTAAGTGGTTCAAGAATGTTGAGATGTACAAGGCAGACCATCAACTTCACTGTGATATCTATTGGCACACCATCAGGTATAGTGCAGGTAACATTTTCACCAGCTATGGATTAGAAAGACAGGCAAAAAGCAGTTCCTATATGCAAGCTTAGAATGTAGGGCAAATGAAGCAAGCTCTATATCTTCTACATAAGATCTCATTTACTTCATTCAGAGCAAATGATTCTGTAGTCAATTCTAAGTTGGACCAACTCTTATTACTAGGTTTTTATATTCTCTTCAGTCTGTCCTCTGGTAGCAATTATCCTTCCAATTCTTTTCCTAATACTTTATCCACTTATCTGAAACCTACAGAAACTCCCACACCTTCTATCAAATCTACAGAGAAAAAAAAAAGAGAAAGACAAAAATGACCAACAAGAATATATACACTCTTTCTTTTTGAATTCAAAAGCCTCTTTTCAGTCTTTATGATAAAGAGGCTAAGAAAGGAATAAATTAAATGTTGTGTTATTTTCTAAAACTTCATTAAGGTAAAAGTTAAAAAAATTTTAATGTTTATTCATTTTTGAGCAGGGGAAGGGCAGAGAGAGGGGGAGACAGAGACTCTGAAGCAGGCTCCAGGCTCTGAGCTGTCAGCACAGACAGAGCCTGATGTGGGGCTCAAACCCACAAACTGCAAGATCATGACCTGAGCCAAAGTCAGACACTCAACCAACTGAGCCCCGCAGGTGCCCCAAAGTAAAACAATTTTTAAAGCCCTGAGAAATCAAAGGAATTTTTATCCACATTTAAAATATTTTGTATTTTGTAAAGTCTAGTAAGTTCCGAGTAAGTTTCCATTTCAGAACAAAAAAAAACAAAACACTGAAGCATAGAGAAACATCAGAGATTGATCTTAAGTGGTAGAATAAAACCTACAATTATATTAAAATGAAATAACTCATGTTTTATAGAATTTGCCATATAAATTATAGAATTCCCTAAAACTATGAAGTCCTGGAAGGATTTGGACAAGTTTAATTAAGAGATTATTTTTATCTCTAAGCTCCAATATAATAACTGTTACAGGAAACCAACTTAAGACATTTATTTTCCTCAAACAGAGTCCTAAAATTTAAATTTACCTAGACCATAAGCTCCATGAGGATAAGGACTAATCTGACTCACAACTATATCCACAGCCTATTTCTTCTGTAGACAGTGGCTATGGCATACCTATTAAAGATATAGTGTGTACAGATGTGTAAATCAAAAATTTGATTTCAAGAATAATCACAAAGTAAAACTCAATGTTATGTTGAAAATAAGACACATGCTTGAAATCATATAACTCAGGAAGGTTGAAAACAAAATGGCAAACCAAAGATACAATAGGCAAATGAAAACAAAAAGAAAGCAGGGGTCACAATCTCATCAGACAAAGTAGAATTTGGATGAACTATATTTTAATAGAAATAAGAGGGTCACTTTATAATGCTATAGGACAGGGGTGTCTGGGTGGCTCAGTCAGTTGAGCGTCCGACTTCGGCTCTGGTCATGATCTCATGGTTCATGAGTTTGAGCCCCGCGTTGGGCTGTGTGTTGACAGCTCGGAGCCTGGAGCCTGTTTCAGATTCTGTGTCTGTCTCTCTCTCTCTGCCCCTCCCCACTTGCGTGCGCTCTCTCTCTCTCAAAATAAACAAATATTATAATGCTATAGGACAGTGCCACTCAAAGGGAAGTCTGAAGCCTATAGTGGTCCACAAGCGGTTACCAGTTCTATCAGGTAAGTACAGAGATTGAGAATAATTATTTAGACACTTTAGTGGCAATTTGACAATGCTAAAGAAGGCAGTAGGTATTATTTACAGCCCCTACAGTTTAAATAATAGTTTATCAACTAACATATAGCAGCAGTATCTTTTTTTTAATTTATTTATTTTGAGAGAGAGTGTGTGTGTGTGCATGAGTAGGGGAGGAGCAGAGAGAGAGGGAGAGAGAAAATCCCAAGCAGGCTCCGTGCTAAGAGCAGTATCTTTTAAACCTCATTTTATTGTGAACCTCAATGGAAATGCTTTTTAATCCACCAATAAACGTTCTCATTTTCAAAAATGCATATGAAAAACAAATTTTGCTTACATTGAAAGTGTTTTAATGTCCTAGTTGTCTGGATTATCTCTTTCTTTAAAGTTATTTTATCAACTCTAAGATGCCCGATTTCAGATGCACCATTATTTTATATACTAAGAGAGACAAACACCACTACTTTAACTGTGACATGTTGTTGATTTATGTTAAGATGTTTCCTGAATTCAGATATGTTAAATCATTAAGAAAGAAAGGAAGGGAGGGAGGGAGGGAGGGAGGGAGGGAGGGAGGAAGGAAGGAAGGAAGAAGGAGGAATGGCCAATGAAACTCAGCAAAATATATTAAACAAAATGACTAACAAACATATCTACAATTAAAAGTTGAACATAATTCTATTTTTCCTTAATATTTTCAAAATAATAGCAGTATATTTCAACATGACTTAATTTTTTAGAAGAAAGATCTCAAACAGAGGCGCCTGGGTGGCTCAGTCAGTTGAGCATCTGACTCTTGATTTTGGCTCAGGTTATGATCTCTCGGTTCATGGGCTCGAGCCCCGTGTTTGAGCTCTGTACAGACAGCGCGGAGCCTTGGAATTCTTTCTCCCTCTCTCTTTCTGCCCCTCCGCCACTCATGCCTTCTCTCAAAATAAATAAACTTAAAAAAAAAGAAAAATTATGGCTGCAAAACAACTTAACTGAGACTCAACTCTAGTTTAGGCCAGGTCCAAGAAAACTATCAAAATTGACAGAGTCCTTCAGAGACCCTAATGCATGCTCTCATGCCATTATAATTCCTACTCTTTACTACTCATTCGCTACTCATTCATTATCCAAGATCCTCAACCAAAGCAACTTATCTAATCCTGTCCATACCAAGTAGTGCTCCTACAACCTGGGACCTCAGTCTGATATGCACCTCCTCTTGGGTGTTCGCTTAAATTATACTTCTAGAAACCTCCTCTGATCTTAGTATATTGCGTTTCTCTATTTTCCCATAATGTCAGGTTTACTACAGAGATGATCACACTGTTCTTATTAAAATTAAATTGTATACATTTCATTTGAATCCCACTCCCCCATGTCCTTAAGGGCAGGAAATATACTCATCCTCTGTATATTCCCCACACACCCAGCATAGAATCTTATAAGAAACTCTTATTGAACTGGGCTCTTCATTCCCCAACAACTTTTCACTTCAATATTTATCTTTCCCATGTCTTATTTGTGCCTTGTTCTCTATGAATTAGCACACAAATTGACTGTAAAAATGAATTACTACTTTACATTAGGATAGATCCTTTAAAAAAAAAAAAAAGGCTTTTGTTTTTGAATAATTATGCCTTAACCCAAAGGATTATATAATGATGGAATTTTTAGGCTTCATGACTGCCAGGGAGAGAAGTATTTTGAAGCAGGCAGTACTCAGGTAACAAGTGTCTTCCCACTTCCCCACCACCACCAAAAGCCTCATGGGGTAGAGGTGGAAGGTACTACATAGGAATTTCCTCACAAGAAAAGGGACATCTATTTTGCCCAGAGTTCAATTTTATTACAACCTCAGACAGGGTCTTGCATGCTAATATTTGCACAGAACAGGTTAATGGGTGTGATACAAAGGAAAAAGCTGAAAGAGATACTGCAAGCCATACTTCAGGTATGACTTTCTAGCCAGATCCCTAACTACATATTTTAAGTTTTCAAAGATAGTAATCATATCAGTTTCTACTTTTTATGTGAATGCTTAAGTTTGAAGTAGATTTTTTTCAAGGAGAGTATTTTAAGTCCTTCCTAAAAATTAAATTGCTTTATATCCAAATGTTTTTGATAGCTGTTCAGTAATCCACTCTTTGTTCACGTTATCACTAAAAAGACCTGGATCAATGAGAAATGCCATGTTCAAATGGATGTACTGAGAAGTAAAAAGGGACCGAAAACAATTTTTTAAAAAGATGTCTTGTGAGTAAATATCCATAGGAAAAGGATATGAAATCTCTATAAAGAAAAAAATGCTTCTGGGACAACTTGTTATGAGAACATTTAACTATCAATTTCTAAATGCCACATTATAAAAAAGAGAGGATTATGTATACTATCCACTCTATGCAGAAGGAACTACAACCTTTATTCTCTTCTGAAGTGCCTTCTTCTGTAGTTTTTTTTTCCAGCACAATTCCAGAAAAATCTGTTATTACCTAAAAGAATGGAAGAAAAAAAGGAAATGATATAATAGATACATATGAAAAACCTTTTCACAATGCAAAGATTTGTACAGTTAATTCAAATAATATATAGTTCATCCTAAATGAACTATAAAAAGCATCAACAAATCTCTTTAAAATAAGGAACCACTGTGATATATTAACATTTTTATATCATATTAACTAAATGTTTAACAGAAGATACATAATTCCCCTATATCAAACCAAACTACTGTTCCCAACAGCTTAGGAATGGAATCACAGCAATTAGTCTGGCTGCTCAGTCCTGCTACCCTGAAGTACAGGCTACCTGGCACCTGTGATAATGGCGAGAGCTTTTATCATATAACTATACTTTACCTTTCATATGGAATTACTATAGAATCTAGAAATCTGTTTCCATATAGACTTTACAAATATAACTTAGTATATAAATAATTTAATTTTTTATAACTCAAGTGAGGAATTGTCAATTTGTAAGAATTTCTAAAATGCAGAAATGTGTCCTAAATCTAAGAGAGAAACACATTACATGTTCCTACCTCCAAAGCTCTGTCATACTGTTTGTTAGAAATATATAGTTCAGCTGCTACATTAACATCTTCCATGGAAACAAGACCCTGATGTTTTGAAAAAGCTTCTTCAATTATGTTAATAGCTGAAGTAACATCATTGGCTTCATAGTAACTCCTGAAAAAATAAATGACAAAATGGATGAATACTTATTTAATTCAGATTATAAAACTCACATCCTTGCTCAGACCATCCATTACCTATGATGTCCATTGTCTTAAAATCAGAGAGGAGAAAAAAACTTTTCCTTAAAATCATAATCATAGCTGATCCAGAGAAAAATGGGCAATGCCCATTCGACAATGCCATCATGTCAAGCCCCTCACTCTACAAAAGCTACGTCATACCATTCCAGCTCATCCTATCACCCAATTCCAACAACTGTTCCACCTCAGTGGGGTCTACAAAGCATTGATCTACCTGTTTCACTGTCCTGCGGCCTCTTGTCTTCACTTTCCTCCTTCTCCATAGACCAACATTGTAATTACTCCCTTGTGCATCTCCTCACTTCTCCTGTCCTTCTGTCCCTTCTGATAAAGTCATGTGATAAAATCCCAACCCTTGTTAATCCAAATATGCCTACTCTTCACAACCACTTGTCAAGCTGACCATGCTGACTGGACTCACTCTAAATTAATGATCACTAGCCTCAAGTGGGCCCATGGTGCTATCAGCAGTCTTGCTACAGTTACCTTGTGCAGTACTTTTCAAACCTGAATATGCATACAAAGTAACTGGGCATCTTGTAAAAAGGCATATTCTGATTCAGTAGAGCTGGGGCAGGACTGAGATTCTAATTTATGACAGGTTCCTAGGTGATACAAATGCTGCAGCAAGGCCCCAAAGACCTAGACAACCGCTTCTCATCTCTCCCTTCAAACCTCCAAAACTCTCTGATCCTCACTGTCAGCTGATGACCTTGCTTCTTAGTTTGCAGAGAACCAGATCATGACATCCCACACACTCCCAAAACATCTTCCTACTTACACACACCCATGGCCATATATTCCACATTCTCCACCTATAAGGCAAACCCCCAACTAGATCCCATTCTCTCCAACCTACTCAAGGATATCACTCAAGCAACTGTCCCTTCTCTCATGAATCTTCAGTGTGTTCCTCAATTGTGGATTACACCAGCTGAATACAAATCCACTGTAATTTTTCCCAACTTAAAAATTATCTCTTACCCCTACAACCCATTCTAATTATCCTCTCATTCCTCTGCTCCCCTTATAAATTTCTCCAGAGCTGCCAATACTCCAGGAACCCTCACCCCATCTCCAACGTCAATACTCAGTCCTCATTTTACATGCTCTATCTGGACTACTTCATCCCTCCTCCTTGCAGTGCTTTCTTCAATACATTTCTAGTATATCAGGTTCTCTTAGTTTCTTCCTACTTCACTGCCCCTTTCCTTTCAGTCTCCCTGCTGCTTCCTCCTGATTTTCCTGATTTCTAAACACTGGAGTGCCTCAGGGTTTAGTCCTAGAACTCTTCCCTTGTCTGTGTGTGTGTGTGTCTCCCTCTCTCTCTCTTTCATACACACACACCCACCCATCTCCTATTAGAAAATCGTTGAGTTCAGCCTTAAAATACACCCAGAATCTGATTACTTCTCACCACCTGCACTTTTATCCTGGTCCAGCATCCCTTCCACAGATTACTGCACTAACCAGATCAAGATGGTTGATCCTAGATTGAAACACCATTTACAGATACCTCTAGAAAAGAGAGCTTACAAGACATTATTTAGCCAAAATGTTTCCTGCTTTGCTTTGATGTACAGCATGTCAGAGAAGTAAATTAGCATATAATATTTTATCTTTTATTTTTATTTTCAAATTTTTATTTAAATCCTAATTAGTTAACATATAGTGTAATATTGGTTTCAGGAGAATTTAGTGATTCTTCACTTATACATAACACCCAGTGCTCAACATAAGTGCCTCCTTAATACCCATCACCCATCTAATCCATCCCCCACTGACCTCCCTCCATCAACCCTCAGTTTGTTCTATAACGTTAAGTCTCTTGTGGTTTACTTCCCTCTCTTTTTATTCCCTTCTCCTTTGTTAATCTGTTTTGTTTCTTACATTCCACATGAATGAAATCATGGTATTTGTCTTTCCCTGACTGACTTATTTCACGTAACATAATACACTCTAGTTCCATCCACGTCATTGAAAATGGGATATTTTAAAATAAAATATATACCACAGTCAGTGCTGTGTCAACCACAAAGAAAAATTTTTGTTTTAAGATGTTATTCTAGTACTAACTAAAGATACAATTATAGAAAACCCCAGACCACAAACATTTCAATAGCATATTTACAACTAATCTAATATTATTGCAAATGTACATCAACTAAGTTATGGAAACCTAGGAACCTAATCATCCTTTTAGAACATGCCCCATTTTTAAACTTCAGAACACTTGAAGGTAACTGTATATACAAATTTTTCTAAGTAATCACACAGTTGACTCGGAAACAGAAAATTACTGAAAAAAAAAAAACCCACCTCTATATTTAGGCACAATATAAAATATAGGAAATAAAACACTTCTTTTAACCTCAATAAAAAATATATTCTACTTCAAATATGTGCTTTGACGTGTAAAATAAGATGATTATCAGGAGCATCTATATATACTTCACTCCAAACTTACTTTGCCATATCTCTAGTCAACTGCATAAAACGTTCTCCATCAGATGGAGATAAAAGGTTTAAAATACGCCTATAACCATCCATTGCCATTTTATGATCCCCCATTTGTTCATAAAGGCTTGATCGCTCCCACAGGTAACGGACATTAGTAGGTTCATATTTAAGAGCTAAAAAGAAAAAAGAGAATACAAATTATGGATTTATCACAAAAAGGTGTTCATGATACTTGGGTATGACCAATTCTCTTTTCGGAAAATTAAATGAACGCTCTAAACTAATTGTCTAATAGAACTAAGTGGGTTACTCTGGAACAAATCTATCTTCACAGGAACTCTCAGTTAGGTTTACTCTAAGACCAGACAGAACCTGAATCTCTACATTAATCTTCATTTGGTAACTTAGTGTGATGTTAACCCTCAAGGAACAGCTTAGAACCAACAATGATCTCAGTAGGAAATTGAAGGTAGTGTTCTACCAACTTTTGTGCCATATTAGCTCACACTATAAAGTTGCTGATAAACATGAAAGCAGACAGGCTCCAAATACTTAACCCTGGGATGACAGAATATAGGGATGACAGAATACAAGGAATAAATACATTTCAGCTAACATCACCCCAGAGTAGCAAGTACAATTATCAAAAAATATATTATGTAACATTTTTATCAAACAAAATAAGAAAAACATTTTAATTACCTTTTGTGTAGCAAAAAATAGCCTGCTTAATATTATCTTGTTCCAGAGACATTTCTGCCAATCTAACCCATTCTTCAGTGTCACTGGGATTTAAATGTGCAGCAATCAACTCAAACTGCAGAGACTTCTCCATGTCACCTTGGTCCTCATATATCATGGCCAGAGTAGAGAATGGCTCATAAGCCAGAGGAGCTATAATGAATTAAAAAAAAACAAATTCCACTGACTGAGGAAAGAAGCATGAGATGATGCAATTATCATCAAATTACATCAAATTATGATCTTGTAATAATTAAACTCTTTTAAACACCCTAGCAGAATTATACAAACTACTTGATGGAATTTAGAAGGTATCATTTCATGAAAAACTCTATTCTCCACTATGTGCTCCTTATGAAAATCCCCCTTTGCTAAGGCTAAACATGGCTTAATAACTGAGTGAATTCATCCCAATGAGCATCAGCACATCAGTGCTGAATCTTCATGATCCAACAAACACAGGCACATGGAATGAATGGACTGAGGATATCTAAACTGCACCTAAATCCAGGATATCAAAATGAATAGTTGATCTGCATTTCTGAAATGTTTCTGAAATGAAGTTCTAAAATCACAAGGAATTAAAGTCAAAGTTATTGTCAAAAATAAACAACTATAAACTAATATAAAGGAAAAGATAATATTGCAATGTAGGAACCAAACAAAATATTCTCAAGAAAAAAGTGTGGTTAATCTTGTTTCTCAGATAGAAAAGAAAAAGCAGTGACCTCAAGTTATCCTAAAAAGCAATGCAGGAAATTTTTAAAGTAAACTGTATGTCCAATGTGGGGCTTAAACTCACAACTCCAAGATCAAGAGTTACATGCTCTACCAACTGAACCAGCCAGGTGCTCCAATCCAGGAAATGTTTAACAAGCCTTCGGGAAGGTTGGCTGGGAAGACGGTAGAGTAGGCGGACCCTAACCCCACTTCATCCCATGGATGCAACTAGATAACACTGATATCAGCATAAATTATCCAGAAAACGATCTGAAGACCGGTAGAACAAAAACCACAATAAAAGGTATAGAAGAGGTCACAATGAAGAAACTATGAAGTGTGAAGACACAGTCTGGGAGACAGAGAGGGCCGTCTGCAACAGGAAGGAAGCCAGTGGTGCAAAGAAGGAACCTTCACACTGGAGAGCCCACAAATGGTGAGGTGAATCCCCATAATATTTGCCTTTGAAAGCGAGAGGAGCCGAGTTTCGTTAAGTTCTTATAACCAATGGGACTTAAAGTCTGCAATTTTAAAAATCCACCAGCATGGCTCCAGGAGACCCGAGAGGATATTAGCAAGCAAAGTCCCTACCCTTAGATAGCACAAAAAACAGGCCATGCAGATACCATGCAGAACCAGCAGCTTGAAAGACACCAGGGGCAGATGGAAGGAAGAGTGATTTGTTCATCTCAGAGCACGTTCCAGAGAGACAGGGATCATGGGGAGACCCCTCCAGGAACAAAGGAGCTAGCAGGCGTCATCTCCCTACCCATCTACCCCCAGCATAAAAAACAACCACCTGCAGGAACCAACACTCGCTACCTAACTTGTTTAAAGCAAGCCCTGCCCCCTTGCACTTTGGCAGATCCACCCTTCCTAGCCAAGCTGGCCTTAGTCCCCGTTACAGGCCCTTCCCCCAGAAGATCAGTGCAAACCACAGACACCACATCTCCCAACCTGCAAGTTGTGTGGGACTTCAAACGCGGCAGCTGCAAGTGGTGGCAGGTCTCATTTTGCAAGCAGACCACTGCACACCTTGTTAAAATGCAATCCACTTCTGCTGGGGACCAAACAATGCCCACAATAGGCAAAGAGAGCCTCTGCAGACAACTGAACTGAAAGAAAAAGAGGCCAAGACTCAACAGCAGAGCACACAAGACACATATAGGAGACACTCCCTGAAGCACGAGGCCCTGGGGAACAGGGGACACTGGACTACAGTGCACTACAGGACCTCTTCTTCATAAGGATATTATCGTTAAGAGCAAGAGAAGTAGCTGATTTTCCTAACATAAAGAAACAGACACAGAAAGTCAGACAAAATGAAGAGACAGAGAAGTATCTCCCAAATGAAAGTATAGAACCAAACCACAGCAAAAGACCAAAGCAAAATGGATACAAATACGCTTGATACAGAATTTAAAGTAATGATCATAAAGATACTCACTGGACTTGAGAAAAGAATGGAAGACATCAGTGAGACCCTTAACACAGAGCTAAAAAAGAATCAATCACAGATGAAGAACATAATAAATGAAATTAAAATACACTTAATGGAATATCAGGCTGGATAAAGCAGAAGAACAAATTAATGACCTAGAAGACACAGTAATGGTAAGTAACCCAGCTGAGCAAAGGAGAGGAAAGAAAATTATGCAAATTGGGAAGTATTAAGAAACTCAATGACTCCATCAACCATAACATAGTAACATAATAACATGTGTATTATAAGGATCTCAGAAGAAGAGAGAGAAAGGGGCAGAAATTTTATTTGAAGATATAACAACTGAAAACTTCCCCAATCTGGGGAAGGAAACAGATCCAGCTCCTGGAGACACAGAGATACCTCCAAAAATTCAATAAGGAGGTTCACACCAAGACACATAGTAATTAAAATAGCAAAGTGCACTAATAAGGAAAAAATATAAAAATAGCAAGAGAAAAGAAGACAGTTACACACAAGGGAAACCCTATGAGGCTATCAGATTTTTTAGCAGAAATTTTACAGGCTGTAAGAGAGTGGCATGATATATTCAAAGTGCTAAAAGGGGAAAATCTGTAGACAAGAATACTCTATCCAACAAGGCTATCATTCAGAATGGAAGAAGAGATAAAAAGTTTCTCAGACAAACAAAAAATAAAGGAGTTCATCACCACTAGACCAGCCCTACAAGAAAATTAAAGGGGACTCTTTGAATGCAAATGAAAGACCCTACATGAAAGTATGAAAAGTAAAAAACACAAAAGTAAAAATATTTCTGCAAAAATAAGTCAAAGCATTCATAAAATAAAAGGATGTGAAATATGACACTATGTATCTAAAACATGGAGGGGAGATAAGAATGGGCTTAAGCGACCATCAACTTAATATAGACTGCTATTTGCAAAAGATTTTATATGCGAACCTAATGCCAAACACATAAAAAACCAGTAATACATATGCAAAAAAATAAAGAGACAGGAATCAAAGTATATCATTAAAAAAAGCCAACAGGGGCGCCAGGGTGGCTCAGTCGGTTGAGCGACCGACTTCGGCTCAGGTCATGATCTCACGGTTTGTGAGTTCGAGCCCCGCATCAGGCTCTGTGCTGATGGCTCAGAGCCTGGAGCCTGCTTTGGATTCTGTGTCTCCCTCTCTCTCTCTGCCTCCCCCCCACCCCCCACTCATGCTCTGTCTCTCTCTGTCTCAGAAATAAACATTAAACAGTTTAAAAAAAAAAAAAAAAAAAAAAGCCAACAAACCATGAAAGAGCAAGAGAAGAAAGAATCAGAGAAAATATGCAGAAACAACCACAAAACAAGTAACAAAATAGTAATACATATCTATCAATAATTACTTTGAATGTAAATGGACTAAATGCCACTATCAAAAGACAGTGTGACAGAATGGATAAAAAATTAACACCCATGTATATGCTGCCTACAAAAGACTCATTTCAGATTGAAAGACACCTGCAGATTCAAAGTGAAGGGATAGAGAAACATTTATCGTGCAAATGGATGTTAAAAGAAAGCCAGGGTAGCAAGACAACAGACTTTAAAACAAAGAGTTTGGGGTACCTGTCTGGCTCAGTCACTAGAGCATGCAACTCTTGACCTCGGGGTTGTAAGTATGAGCCCTACAATTGGTGTAAAGATTACTTAAAAAAAATAAAATCTACAAAAAAATATATAATTTAATTTAATTTAATTAAAAAAAAAAAGACCATAACAAGAGACAAGAGCTTGAGTGGCTCAGTTGGCTAAGGATTCAACTCTTGAATTTCAACTTAGGTCATGATCTTATGGTTTGTGGGTTTGCGTCCCACATTGGGCTCTGCATTGACAGTGCAGAGCCTGCTTGAGATTTGGTCTCCCTCTCTCTCTGCCCTTTCCCTACTCACTCTCTATCTCTGTCTCAAAATAAATAAAAACATTTTAAAAAAATTTAAAAAGAGGCAAAGAAGGATATTATATAATAATAAGGGGGCCAATCCAACAAGAGGATATAACAATTGTAGTAGAGGATGTAAGTGATGTCCACTTATAACAATGGACAGATCATCCAAACAGAAAATCAGCAAACAGTGGTTCTGAATGACACACTGGACCAGATGGATTTAACACACACATTCATAATAAAACAGCAGAATACACATTCCTTTCAAGTGCACATGGAACATTCTCTAGAACAGATCACATTTTAGGCCACAGAGAAAGTCTCAACAAATTAAAAAAAAATTGAAGTCATACCACGCATCTTTACTGACGACAAAACTATGAAACTAGAAATCAACTGTAAGAAAAAATCTGGAAAGAGCACAAATACATGGAAGCTAAATAACATGCTACTACACAATAGGTGGGTCAACCAAGAAATCAAAGAAGAAATCAAAAACTACACGGGAACAAATGAAAACACAATGATCCAAAATCTTTCGGACACAGCAAAACTGGTTCTAAGAGTGAGTTTATAGCAATACAGGACATCAAGAAGCAAGACAATTTTCAAATAAACAACCTAACCTTATATCTAAAGAAGCTAGAAAAAGAAGAATAAAACCCAAACCCGGCAAAAGGAAGGAAATAATAAAGATCAGAGTGGAGGGGCACCTGGCTGGCTCAGTGGGTATACAATACTCTTGATCTCAGATTGTGATTTCACGCCCCACACTGGGTACAGAGATTACCTAAAAATAAAACCTTAAAAAAAAAAATTAGAGCAGAAACAAATGATAAACTAAAAAAAAAAATAGAACAGATCAATGAAACCAGGAGCTAAGTTCTTTGAAAAGATCAACAAAATTGATAAATCTCTATTAAAATGATCAAAAAAAGGAAAAAAAAAAAGTGAGAGGACCCAAATAAACAAAGTCACAGACGAAAGGAGAGAAATAACAACCAACACCACAAAAATACAAAAATTGTAACAGAAGATTATGAAAACCTTTATGTCAAAAAATTAGACAACTTAGAAGAAATGGATAAATTCCTAGAAACATATAACCTACCAAGACTGAAGCAGGAAGAAATAGAAATTTTGAACAGACCAATAGCAGTAATGAGACTGAAGCAGTAATCAAAAACCAAAAAAGTCCAGGATTAGACAGCTTCAGAGGTAAATTCTACCAAACATTTATTTTTTTTTATGTTTATTTATTTTGAGAGCAAGTGTGCATGCACACACATCAGCAGGGGAGGGGCAGAGAGAGAGGGAGGTAAAGAATCCCAAGCAGGTTCCATGCTGTCAGCACAGAGCCTGATGCAGGGCTGGATCTCACAAACTGTGAGATCATGATCTAAGTCGAAACCAAGAGTTGGACACTTAACCGACTGAGCCACCCATGTGCCCCCTAGCAAACATTTAAAGAAGAGTTAATACCTATTCTCCTCAAACCATTCCAAAAATATAAGAGGAAGGAAAACTTCCAAATTCACTCTATGAGGCCAATATTACCCTGATACCAAAACAAGATAAAGACACCACAAAAAGAGAGAACTACAGGCTTGTATCTCTCATGAATACAGATGCAAAAATCCTCAACATATTAGCAAACCAAATCCAACAATACATTAAAAAATCATACAACACAATCAAATGGGATATTCCCAGGATGTAAGGGTGGTTCAGTTTTCACAAAAAATCAACATTATACATCACATCAATAAGAGAAAGGATGAAAACTACATGATCATTTCAACAGATGCAGAAAAAGCATTTGAAAAAGTACAACATCCACTCATGATAAAAATCCTCTGCAAAGCAGATCTAGAGGGAACATACCTCAACATAATAAGGGCCTTATATGAAAAACCCACAACCAATTTCACACTCAATGGTAAAAAACTGAGAGCTTTTACCCTAAGATCACAAACAAGACAAAGATGTCCACTCCCATCACTTTTATTCGACATAGTACTGGAAGTCCAAGCCACAGTAATTAGACAATATAAAGAAATGAAGAGCATCCAAATTGGTAAGGAAGAAATAAAACTCTATTTGTAGATGACTTGAAGACTCCACCAAAAAACTATTACAACTGATAAATGAATTCAGTAAAGTCACAGGATACAAATCAATGTACATCAATCTGTTGCATTCCTATATACTAATAATGAAGCAGCAGAAAGTGAAATCAAGAAAACAATCCCAAGGGCACCTGGCTGGCTCAGCTGGTAAAGCATGTGGCTCCAGATCTCGGAGTCATGAGTCCAATGTAGGGTGTAGAGCTTATTAAAAAAAAGGGGGGAGGGGGGCAGACACCTGGGTGGCTCAGTGAGGTCGGCAACCAACTCTTTGATATTGGCTGAGGTCATGATCTTGCAGTTGTAGGATCAAACCCCACATCAGGCTCTGCACTAGGCATGGAGCCTGCTTGCAATTCTCTCTCCCTCTCTCTCTGCCCCTCCCCCACTCACTTGCTCTCTCAAAATAAATAAATAAACTTTAAAAATAAAATAAAAACAGAACTACCCTATGACTCAGTAATTGTATTACTGAGTATTAACCCAAAAAATACAAAAACACTAATTTGAAGGGATACATACACCTCAATGTTTATAGCAGCATTATTTATAACAGCCAAACCATGGAAACAGCCCAAATGTCCATCAATAGATGAACAGATAAAGAAGATGGTGTGTGTGTGTGTGAGTGAGTGTTATTTGGCCATAAAAAAAATGAAATCTTGCCATTTGCAATACGGATAGAGCTAGAGAGTATAAAGCTAAGTGAAATAAGTCAGTCAGAGAAAGACAAATACCATATGATTTCACTCATGTGTGGAATTTAAGAAACAAAACAAATGAGCAAAGAAAAACAGAGGGAGAGAGAGAAACCAAAAAACAGATTCTTAATAGAGAACAAACTGATGGTTACCAGAAAGGAGGTGGGTCAGGGGATAGGGGTGAGTAAGAGGGTATAGGGATTAAAGAGTACATTTATCATGATGAAAAAAATAAAATTAACAAAGAAAAAAACAAAGACCTCTAAAAGGACCCTTGCCCAGATAAGATGAAATGCCAAAATACTGAAAAGATAAATGAACAGTTCACTGTATTACAATTACCCAAGCCACTACGCAGGTCACCATTTGGCAACGCATCAGGAAAACAAAATGACAAATATAAGTGATTAATCAAAGAATCACTTCTGAAGATATCCTTCAATGAGCCCAAGATTTGCAGTTTAATGAAAAATGATATATGTAAATTGTGTCTTTTACCAAAAAGTAGATTAAAATAATCTAGCTCTGCCTAATCTGGAAAATGAAAGAAAAAAAAGAACACTTTTTAAGTGGTTTCAACACGTGTCATATTTAAAAAACACTAATGCTCCAAAAGTCTAAAAACCCCAAAATGAAACATTAAAAAACAAACAAAAACCAAAAAAAGGCTATATGAGTTCAATACTCTATGATTTTCATTTTCTTGGTAATGATATCTACTGAATATGAAAAATGGCAAATCACTATTATCACAATCATTTCCAAGCTTCTGAATATTTTTTCCAAATAGTACAGTGAAGTGCTCATCCACTTGTTTTAAGGTACACTATTAAACTGCTATTGTCAATAATCCCCCCTACAGAAAACACCTTGTCTTATGATTTCCATGCACATCAATATCGCCTCCTCCCGTTCGCCTCGAGCAAAGCGAATGTTGGCTTCACCCATGAGACCCCTCAGAGCTCTGGGAAGTTTACTTCGAGGTCTTTTCTCCTGTATAGAAAAAAAAATGACATTTAGACTAAAATATAGTAGTGTCTTAGATTTCAATTCCAACCAAATTAATAAATGCAGAACATAATGAAACTGAAATTTCCCTTTAAAATTTCTCAATATTCTAAATTGAGAAATAAGGACTAAATGACTATAATTCTAACCCATTAATATTAAAGTCTATATTTCAGGAAAAAGTCTAAAACTAATCTCAAGAAGAAAAAGAAATATTGTATAACATTCTCCAAAAAGGAACACCTCAGAAAACTAAAACAAACTTCCTACAGTAGAAAGTTCAAACCACAGTGAAGTATATAAAGAAAGTAAAAATCAAAGTGGTCAAGAATTATTAATTACTAACTAGAATAATAACAAATGTAGAACCTGATGTTGCAAAATGGATTTATGTGCCGCTAAACTTATAACCTACTGAAGATCCTCCTTCCTTCTAATTTATCTACTCAGAAGAAAGTTGGTTAAAAAGTTATAATATGGAACTTTTAATAGCAAAACTATAGCATATTTTGACACATGCAATAATTAAGGTTTTACATTTTAAAAAATCTCTATGGTGAAACATAAGAAAGTAGGTGACTCAGTCAGTTAAGCGTCTGAATCTTGGTTTCAGCTCAGGTCATGATCTCACTGGCCTGTTTCGGATCCTCTGTTTCTGTCCCTTCCCTGCTCATGTTTACAGGCTCTCTCTCTCTCAAAATAAATAAAAAGAAAAAAAAAAAAGAAACGTAACAGTTGTCTCATGATATTTCCTTTTTTACAGTTTGAATTCTTTCCGAATATACGTATAATTTAAAGATTTCTTTTTCAATTACTATGTCACATTTTTACATTATGTTTATAAAGACTAAAATAAATTATTTACTTTCATCATCTTCTTGGTTTCACGATTGAGAACCATCTCCAATACAAACACATCGCCTGCAGTGGGTTGCTCAGGTGTTTCTTCTTCCTCTTCTTCTTCTTCTTCCTCTTCCTCCTCATCATCTTCATTCTCTCCAAGCATGGAAGCAAAGACCTTGTGAACTGATTTACTGACTCCATCTGACGTTTCTCCTGAAGAAAGACACATGGAGATTGCCAACAAACAAACAAAAACCCATTAGAACACTCGGTAGTCAAAAGGGAAAAAAAATAATCCAGTATTTTCTGGAAGTAAAAGTAGAGAACAAACATTCCAAAACACAACCCAAAGAAGAAATCTGTTACAAAGTCATATATTTTACTCTGTAGGAACTGCTGACTCAACCTTTAGGTCTCATTAAGATGTACAGGAGAATTAAGTGGGAAATCAGAAATGTACATAGTTAACACTTAAAAGCAGAGGGGAAAAAAAAATAAAAGAACTGTAAGACACAGACCTAAAAACTAAACAAGTCTGATGGTACACACCAGGTGGCATAGCATAGTGATTAAAGATAAGGCCTCCAGAGTCAAGCTGTCTGATTTCAAACTTCATCTCCAATTATCACTAACTGTATAACCTTGGGTAAATTACTGAAGCTCTCTGAACCTCAGTTTCCTCATTTGTAAAAGAGGTTAATAATAATGTCTGACAGGGGCATTTGGGTGGCTCAGTCGGTTAAGCGTCTGACTTTGGCTCAGGTCATGATCTCATGGTTCGTGAGTTCGAGCCTCACATCGGACTCTGTGCTGACACCTCGGAGCCTGGAGCCTACTTCAGATTCTGTGTCTCCCTAGTCTGTTCCTCCCCCACTTGTACTCTCTCTCTCAAAAATAAATAAAGATTAAAAAAAAATTTTTTTTTAAATAATAATGTCAGAAAGACCAAAGAACTCTTGATCTTGGGGTTGGGAGTTCAAGCCCCATGCTGAGCACAGAGCTTATATGCATACATACATACACATAAACACACATAAATAGTGGTTGTACCATTTAAATAAATAGGTAGATAAATAAATACAGTACCATAATAATAATGTCTGCTTTAGGCTTACCCTAAGGATGAGGTGAGTTTTTATATATATGCACTTAGAATAATGCCCAGGATACAGTAAAAGCTTAATAGATGCTATTATTAAAATAGTATTATCATTTCAGGAACAAAATAATATGACATAATTCATTTTTATCTGAGGATGCCACTATAGTACAATAATTTTTGCAAGTTCATAATGATAACCTTAAATGATCATGTAATGCTTAAGTTTGAGGCCAATTTTCTGTTAAAGCAGAGACATGTAACATATTTTAGAAAAACTCCAATGAAACAGTTAAAATTTTATATACATTTTATATAATTTTACATAATTGTATTAAAAAACTTGCAAGCTTATTCACTTACATGAAATACGTCAAATCCCAAAGATGCTGGATAGACAAGATAGTTAATATGTTTGAGGAAGGACAAAAATTTTTAAAAACCCACATATTCTGAACAACAAATAAGTAATCATTCTTAAAAAGTCATAATGACCAGCTTCAAGAATTGTGAACATCCTAAATAAATGTAAGAATATGTACACAGAAGATCCAAAAGAATATACATACATACGGCCAGAATACATGAATTAAGCAAGGTTCCTGGATACAAGGTTAATATACAAAAATTACTCGTAGTTTTCTATCAGCAATAGAAACCTCCACTTGGGGGGCGCCTGGGTGGCGCAGTCGGTTAAGCATCCGACTTCAGCCAGGTCACGATCTCCAGGTCAGTGAGTTCGAGCCCTGCGTCGGGCTCTGGGCTGATGGCTCAGAGCCTGGAGCCTGTTTCCGATTCTGTGTCTCCCTCTTTCTCTGCCCCTCCCCCGTTCATGCTCTGTCTCTCTCTGTCCCAAAAATAAATAAACGTTGAAAAAAAAAAATTAAAAAAAAACCTCCACTTGGTCCAAGGAGGCAGGAATAAAGCTGGTTTTCTGCATGTAAACTCCGTGTAAAAAGAGTTATTCACAGGGAAAAGAACCAGCCTCTACTTCTACCCCCTAGAACTAGAAAGTTTAATTTAGTTCTCATTCAGATACTATACACAAAGCTACATTCTAATTGACATTTCAGTATCCCACATAACTTGTCATCGGTAAACGGATACTATGAACTATTATCAGTATTCTGTTCACGAGGAAGGTATGTCAATCACTGGAAATTAATGAATTTGCAAACTAGTTCATCAATTAGACTCTGATGGCTGTAATTAGATGGGACTAACCAAATCTGGTATCTGCACTTGCAGAGCTGAGGACTGGATTCTCGAACGAGGCAGCATACCAAGAAATCTATACTGTGTGTAAGGACCCATCTGGGGCAGCCAACTGGACTTCCACACTGGCATTTTTTTATCTTAACTCCTATGACTAATGCAGTGGTTTGGAAGCTACTTTGTTTAGAAGCATAAATCATTACCATTGGGGGAGTATAGTCTGGAAATATTAGTAACCAAAAGGGCCAGTTTAAAAAACAGTGACTCTACAAAGGCTCCCAAATACTGATGTCAATTTGAAATACTTTTCCACAAAAATAACCCACAAAACTAACCATCACCATATTTAAAACCTCATCAAATATTTATTGAGCACCTATTATATGCCACGCACTATTATTATGCTACTGACAAACTAGATAATCCAGAATACCACTGCAATGAAAAAACAATGTTTTCATTAAATTATTAGGTACTCGTAACATTTAATGCAAGTAGCAAATGATTTTAACATACCTTCATTGACCTCATTGTCCTGCGATTTGCTGGAGTCAATTCCTGATGATGATGGAACTTCAGAGTCATGTGGATTTTCTTCAACTGATAACTTTCCTTTTTCCTGAACACTCTGTGATTGAAAATTAATAATTCCAAAAAATAATGCAGATTTAGTTCTCTACAGATGGGAATAGGGCATTTGCCTCATTTTCTATTTCTTTAAAACTTGAGCTTTGCATAAGTTTGAATACTGTCAAAGCATTTCATAGTCTCATCCCTCACGACTGTCTGAATCAGTCACTTGTAAAAAATAATTTACTACATCTGGATTATTTCATGAATCTACACAGTATACCCTAGCTTTTTAAATGAAAAGAGATGGGTCTTTATTAGGTGCATGAATTAGGAACGAATCCACCAATTAATTTCAAAGAGTGCGATATTTGTTTTCCCTCGAACTTCTTATAAGTGAAAGGATATGTAAAGTTCAGATATTCTAAAGTATCAAAAAATATGAGTGAAGATTTTATCAGAAAAGAAAACTCGCTTTCTTGTGGAAGATTACATCACACCACTGGGAGACTCCTCAGAAATGGGAGCTCGAACCCCTCGGTTTAAAAGTAAACTGAGGCCTAAAGAAGAGAGGTGAGTTGCTCACCCGAACACAAAAAGAATCGGTGGCAAAACTACTAGAATCAGAAACACTGACGGGGTAGGGGAGGAGGGGGTTGGGGGAGGAGGGAAGAGAGAGAAGAGGTTACCACAAAGACAAGCTTTTTGGTGGGAGATATTTCTTAAGAGGAGATTAACACAGGGATGAGAGGTGAGAACCCGCATTTGGGTAAGAAGGGGAAGAAGCTGCTAGGAAGTCCCGGCCCGCTCCATCACAGCGAATGGGGTCGTCTGGGTCCCCCACATCTAGCTGCATTAGGGCGACACGACAGTGAGGGGCATCCTGGCCTGGCCATCGCCTCACTTTCTTCTCGCGGGTTTTTCTCTCTTCTCTCCGCCTTTCGAACTCCTCAAAGGAGATCTTCCCTTCCAGGTAGTCGATGAGCTCTGGGCTGAAACCCGACATTCCTGCTTCGGGGTGCGAATACGCAGCAACAAGAACCAGGACAGAGAACCGGAAAAAGCGAGACTTCCTAGATTTTACCCAGCTCCCGGGCGCGAGAAAAGCGACCCGGCGTCCTCCTGAGAAACGGGCCCGGCCTGCGCCGCAGCCGCTGCGCTCAGGTTCCGCAGGCGCATATGGTCCGGCAGCCTTCGAGGCGAGAGAGGGGCGGAGCCGGCCGCTCGGGTCCTCGCCTGCTGCCCTGGCTCAAATGTATTGTTTAAGAGGGTTAGGGAGTTAAAAAAAAAAAAAAAAAAATGCTTGAAAGAAATGTTCCTTAATCTAGATCGTTTCCCTCAATTCTTCATTCTCCTAATCCGCTTCCTTTTATGAATGTTTGTTCTTTAAATTAATGTGATCTTTTCTCTGGTGCATTATTTTCTTGATTTAACCAACTGCACTGCCACGTGCATGTTTCATTTTCCATTTTTCTCCTGCCACAGAAAGCTAAAGTCCTCTCCCAATTTGTGCTCTGAGTCTCATCTCCTCCACCATTAGTTTTCCCGTCTTCCACAAATTCTCAAACTCTCCCTTTCCTCAGGGCTCCTCAGTCTGTAAGTAAGTTTATCGGGACTTCACGTTCCACCTATCACTCCCACCCAAGTTTTCTTTTCTTAACAGTCAAACTTTTAGAAAGAATCAAATGCTTGATGTGGTTAATACACACTCTTGCCCATTTACTATAGGTCATGTACTGGCTTATGCATATTACATACATAGCTCAAAATAATCCTTAAAAATGGATGTTGCTTTCATTTTATTTTTATCTATCTATCTATCTATCTATCTATCTATCTATCTGTCTATCTATTTTGAGAGAGAGCGAGCAAACTCGTGCTTGTGCCGGGGTGGGGGTGAGGGAGTGGCAGAGAAAAAGGAAGAGAGAATTCCAAGCAGACTCCCCCTGCTGCGGGTGGGAGTGGTGGGGGGCGGGGGTTAATCCCACAAACTGTGAGATCATTACCTGAGCTGAGATCAAGAGCTGGGCTTAATAGCTGACCACCCAGGCACCAGAGGATGTTGCTATTATTAATGCCAAAGTCCTATATCTAATAAGTAGCAGAGCCAGGATGTGAACCCTGATCTATCTGACCCCAAATCCCATGCGTTGGAATTAATATGACATATGTCCTCCCCTCAATGGAACTATTCTTCACTTGCTGAACACTCCTGTGGTTTATATTTTACCTTGTGTTATAAATATTTCTCTGCTGTCCTATTCTAGACACACTGTCTGTCAACATCTTGAGAACAGTACTACCTGATGCATCTTTGTGAATTCTAGTATCTGTGCTTAAAACACGTTTATGAATTAAACTGGGTGGAATTGAGAGTACCTTAGAAATGAGCAAGAGTGTTTAGGTACAGACAATGAAGCTCGATATAAAGCTAAGGTTAGAGACAGGTTACAGGGAGCCTATCACTTAGCCATTGGTACCTCTTTGTTACAATCTAGATGAGGATAAGAACAGAAGAATGTCAGAATGACAGCTGTGACCCCAAGACTTCTAGATAAGAGGGGAAAAAAATCTCACAGCTAGAAATCATCACTTTCTCATGATGAAGGATCCTCAGGACTCTACCTGGGTGTAAAATATGGGGGCCAGTAGGAAAGGTTGGATTAAGGAACTCAACAAAAATCACTTGTAGGGAAATTCTCCCTGCCTTCTCCCGGCAGTCAGGGAGCTGCATCTAAGAAGTCAAAACTCTGGTCCTAACTCTCCTAGGGGAAAAGAAGGGAGTCAAAGGCAAGAAAGATGGTACCTCATAAGGAGAATTCTCTACTAAGACCCAGATGGTTTAGACTAGGTTGTTTCACTATCACCTGCCTGGAATATGGAATAACAGTTGTGCAGCTATCCATTCATGTTGGGGGAGAATAGGGAACAAGGAGAAAGAGATAAAAGGATAGTTTTCCCAAAATCACTTGTGCTAAAACCACATCAGGAACCAAGACTTAATACATAATTTAGTTGCAGTTTCAACCTCTCTTAGGAGTGGTCAATCTGGAATTACATGGTCAGCGCTAGTGAGGTAATAGACCTCACTGCATGATAGACCTCTGCTGTCCCCTAAAGGGAAGTGACCTTGCCACAAACAATCCACTCTCTGCTTGGTGACTTCCTTGTCCCACCTTCTTCTAGCTACAAAGTCTTTCATTTTGTACAGCTCTTTGGAGCTCCTTTCTATTTGTTAGATGATGCCCAATTCATGGTTCATTGAATAAATCCAATAAAATCTTTAAAATCTACTTTAAAATTTGAATTTGGTTTTTAACACTGCTATGGAACACCTTGTGACATGAAAGTTCTTTTACAGGTCACATTGTAGCAATATATCTTAAAATTGTAATCTTTCTGTTTTTCTTTTATCCACCTCCTTGAAAGTGATTTGTACCCTGGTGAGTCAGAGGCATCCGCATTACTTTGAGAAGAAGTGAAATTGTTACAACGGTAATAAAAATAGCAAGAAGAAACTTTTCAGACTTTCTGACTGATTTTTGAGGAATCAAAATGGAATGTCTGAAGGAAGCAGAACATTGAATGGGTGCCATGACAGTAGAATTAAGAGTACACAGGGAGGAGACGACTCCATCCTTTCTCCTTTTCAAGGGGTCGAACCACAATGGGATGTGACCCTTTTGGGGAGACAATTTTTCCATAGTTCTCTCACTTTTCTGCAAAAGTTTTTGACAACTTTCAATCTGGGCTATATTTCCAAAGATGTCTGTAGAACAAACAACCTTGAAAGACAGACATATTGTCTTTCTCTGTGATAGAGGACAGATTTGTTTTCTGGCCAGTGCAATAGATATAATGCTTCCATCTGGGGCAAAGATTGGGCATGTTTGCTAGTAGCCCCATATAAAAGTGGGGATATCCTAAGTTTGGGGTTCCTCAGCACAAACACACTCATGTGCAGCAGGTGCTTGGATTCACCTCCATGTGGCTCCCATGATACTTCGGGTATAAGGAGAACCAATGTGGATGTACAACTCATGCTGCCTGCAGCACCATGAGTAATAAAATGTGCTGCCTCAGACCCAGGGGTCTCATGTGTCTATTAGAATCTGTGAAACTGTAGTAGGATAGTGTGCGGCTTACAAGTCACACTTCTAAGTGTGACTTAGAAGTCACACTCTTAACAGTTCTTTTTTTTAAAAAATTTTTTTAATGTTTATTTATTTTTGAGACAGAGAGACAGAGCATGAACAGGGGAGGGTCAGAGAGAGAGGGAGACACAGAATCTGAAGCAGGCTCCAGGCTCTGAGCTGTCAGCACAGAACCCAACGCAGGGCTCGAACTCACAGACCGTGAGGTCATGACCTGAGCCAAAGTCGGACGCTTAACCGACTGAGCCACCCAGGCGCCCCTCTTAACAGTTCTTGACTACCCTAGTTCTGGGGTAGGGGACAACAGGTCATGGCCTGGGAATGTGGGACTCATTAAAGAGGAGCAGAGTCAGTGTTGAAAGGCTGTCAGAGGACTATGTAGAGAATTACCATGGGCCCTGGAGAGCCTGGATCACTTGCAAAGCATTGAATTTCACTGGAAGAAACATGACATTTCTGCTGTTTACCTAGCAATGGTTCTCAGCCAAGAAAAAAATCACTTCCCAAGTGGGCTTTTAGAAATGTGTGTAGGGAAGTTTTGGTTGTCAAAATAATAGGGTAGGGGTGGGGAAATGACTGACATACAATGTCTGAGGACCAGGTGTGCTAAATGGTCATACAAGTGGAGACTTGTCCTTCCCCAATGGCCAATGGCATCACCACCAAGAAACTCCAGTCAGTATGGAGTGTAGGTCATCCATCAACAGCTATCTCCCAATGTGAGTTTTCCAGCAGAAGGATGCATGCTCCTGCCTTGAGACTTTGCAGGCTCATAGTTAAAAGTCCGTGTGGATGCTCTTCCTTTTCAAGGCCCTGAAATTAATAAGTATTCCCTTTGTGGCAGTACTGACACCCAGAACAGGGCTGGTAAAAGGAAAGGAAAACCAGTCACTGCTACTTGAGTGGAACTAGAGGGTGGTACAACACTCCTTACTTCTCTACCCTTTATTTGAATACTTTATTTTTTATGAGGAATAGCTCATTGTCAGTAATTACTTACGTCTTTTATTTTTACTTATTTTTTTAGTGAGTGAGAGAAAGAGTGAATGTGAATAGGGGGGGCAGTGAGAGAGGTATAGGGAGAGAGAGAAAACCTTCAGCAGGCTCCAAACCTAGCGCGCAGCCCAACACAGGGCTTGATCTCACCACCCTGAGATCATGACCTGAGTCTAAATCAAGAGTTAGATGCTTAACTGACTGAGCCACCCAGGTGCCCCTAGTTCTATCTTTTAAATGGTTAAACACAGGGGCAGCTGGCTGGCTCAGTCAATTAAGCACCCAACTCTTGATTTGGGCTCAGGTCATAATCTCATGGTTCGTGAGATCAAGCCCCACATTGGGTTCTGCTCTGACAGCACAGAACTTGCTTGGGATTCTCCCTCACACTCTCTCTCTCTGCCCCTCCTCTTTCTTTCTCTCTCAAAATAAATAAATAAACTTAAAAAAAATTTAAACACTAAAAAAACCCCCCATAATCTTGATATAAACTAGAAGCAGCTTCTATTACCATATAATAGCACAATAGCACACCTTCAGTTCGACACATATTAAACACTCGCTACATGTAGAGCATTGTGCTAGGTGCTGGAGAAATAAAAATGGCTTAGATATGATCTCTGCTCCCAAAGACCTCACAACCCTCCAGAGAAAAGACAACACACACACACACACACACACACACACACACACACACAACTAGTTAAAACAGAACAGATTAAACCAGATGCAGAAATCTATTTTTCCATAAATATTTTATTATTGATATTCAGTATCAATCATCCACAAGAAAGCCACAGAAGACTATCGTGAAAGGTACAGACTAATGTTCCTAGGATGCCAATGTTTTTGCATTCTAGTATAACGTTCGTTTTTCAAGAATCACA